CCCCAAAACCCCAAAACCCCAAAACCCCAAAACCCCAGTAAGATTAAAAACAATTGAAATTATATAATAAAATTCATTACACCTATATTAATTAATGGAAGAAAGTATGAGCAGAACTGAAGACCCTAAACCATCAGATAAGAGCAAAACCAAGTCTAAAAAGGTGTAAGTACATCCAAGATAATTATTTTGACAAGGAGACAGGTGGTTTTAGAGAGATGAAGAAGAGGAGTTTGATAGTCCTGTTGAGAATAAAATTTATTTCCAACCTATTTCAAAAAACTTATGTAGCTTAGATGCTCCATACTTGATTGTCTGTGCTGGAAATATTATCTGAGTTAATTCGAAGGGATAAGCATAGCCTTCCAGTCATTGAAGAATTTATCACTTAAAATATGATGAGAGAGTTTGGAAGTAGTTAAGTTAAAAATTTGATTCCAAATAGTATTCTCTGACTTTCCAGACGATTAGGGTGAAAATTAATTTTAATAATATTAGTTACTTTAAAAACTATAGTGAAATCTCATTAATTTTTAGGAGGATTTTCTTTCCTGATTGCTTCTATTTCTTCAAATGGTCCAAAAGTTGAAGAACTTAGCGAGCCCAGGAATAATTCCCAGAGTTATTGGTCGAGCTTCTCTTTAATTTGCAAATATCTGAACCACCGTCTTCTTTATTTATCAAAAATGTATTCAAATATTGATCTCAATGAAGATTTAATATTTGCTAGAACGCTACAACTTCATTAAAACACTATTCCTATTATACTTATCGATAAAATATTCTCTGATCCACAAATCTTTTTTTAAACTTGTTGAGAGCATCTATATATCAATTTTTCACTTCTTTCTTAAAACAGCAGTTTTTACTAACAAAATTGCCAAGTTTCAAGTTCTTATTCCAAATCTGCTCCGTGCTCTAAAGCTTCAGTACTTAATTAATAACATAGGCTAAGCTTCTTCTCTAAACTATGCTGTCTGTGTAAGTCACTTTTGTTGCTCATTTTGGGGAATTTGGGTTACTGGGAATAGCCACAGGAGAGACTGCACATACTGGTTTGAGGGATAAGATCAGAAAACAAAGGGTAAACAGACTTTTTGGGATGAATGGCTTGTCGGTTGGAAGGGGGTGGGATAGCTTTGTTCTGACTTGTTTTGGCTAAGTTTAATATTTTTATAGTTGTCTTGGATATAAGCCAAGTGGATGATGATAGAAAGGAGAATGACATTGAAGAAATACAGTAAGTTTAGTTTGAAAAAAATGATAAACCGATTTTCACCAGAGACTTCAGAAATTCATATTATTTTAAAATGCTTTAGCTTATTGACTACAGTGACTAATGCTTAGATGAACTCAGACCAAGATACCCAACTAAACCGATTTCATTAAAATAAAAGAAGAGAGAATAAGGACAAGCTAAGAAAGATTCAGGAGAAAGGTAGCCAGGAAGATGAAAAATAATGATGATGACGAAAGTAAAGTTAATGCGTCCATCATCTCTGGTGCCTCAGCTATAAGATTGATCATACCTCCTTATTCCTCCCCTCCTGGACCAACTAAGAAGGCCATGGACAGGAAAACAGATCAATCTGACAATCCTCTTGTTGTTGATGAGAGTCAGAGAAAGCACAAACCTAAGAAATCTCATGTAAACAAGCCTGCACCTAGCTTTTTGCAGAGAGTTCATGAAAATAAATATTTTGGAAAGCTTCATAAGCACAAAGAACATTCTCAAACTAAAGAAACCAAGAAGCATCATGGTAAATATCTCGCATCTAGCTAATACCTGATTGTTTCTTTAGCGAACCATGGAGGTTCCAATAAACCAGAGAAATTTCGGATAAGTATTAATGACCAGGACGCTCCGATAATAAATAAATTTGTCAATGAAAAGCCAGAAATAAAGGAAAAGGATGTATTTAACAAGATAAAAGTCTTTGCTGATCAGAGTGAGGCTCCTCTAGACTCTTGATCTGCCAAGATAAACTTGAAGGAAATTATCAACACAGAGTCTGAACACATCATGAAATGATCTGTTTCTGAACTACAGAGAGGTACTTCCTTTTAGACTTCATTTTGTAATGACTATTTTATAGGAGACCTAAACGTCTCTCCAGTCGATTTGGTTAGCAATAGCGAGAATACTTCAGAATTTAACATTCCAGATCATAATGATGACAATTTTGTCCATCCGCTTAAGCAAAGAACTTCAAGTTTTAGGAAAATGACAAGGCCTAGGCCACGCTTGAGCGTCTCAAAAAGGTTGTCTGTCGTGGACAATCGTAGAGGCAGTGAATCCCCTTTCTTTGGGAATAAGCCATTCCAGTATGTATTTGTGTATATATTTTAGGAATTGGGATAAGAGAAGATCCAAAATGACACTTGAAGAGGTTCGATCTATTCGTACAATGAACTATTCACCAAGCCAGAAGACCGAGAACAATGACTCTCTCAATGTTTCTCCAAAGAATGCTCAAATCAAGAACACTATGGGGCTATTCAAGATGTTCCACGCTATGGAGGCGAATAGCCTAAGCAACTGCCAGAGCGTTCATAAATCTTCCCAGAACATTCATAAAGACTTGAAACTAAATCTGATATCTACTCTTGACGAAAATCTCATAAATAAACGAAAGAACTCAATATCTTCTTCCAGTAAGCCCATAGCTTTTCCTCCAACTTGCCCTTCTTACCATCTCTTCGCTCTCACTCCAACCTCCCAATTACATAAATTCCTCTACTATCACCTCAGATTTGTGCACAAGGGCCTTTTCGAAGCTTCTCACCCTAAAAATGCAGCTATTTTCCATAATTTTCCCCTTAAAAATAGCCTTAAAGCTCCTAATTCACTTCTAAATTCTTTTATCCCTGGTTTAACCCTTCTGTAGATCTCTTGGTTCCCCAAGCGTTGAACTTCAACGGCAGTTCAAACATCGAGACTATTCAGGAACACTCTTTGTCAGTCTCCTCAGTTTCTAATCTTGGCAAGGACGAAGTTGAAGATGGTAAGGAATTAAGAGCAATTTTGGGGGGTACGATCATATTTTAGAGCTTGATTTGGCCAGGAGATCAGATACCTCGACAAAGCAGGCTCCAGAGTCTCCGATAGTGACGATGGGCGAAAGAAACTAAGTAAGACTTATTTTGTATATTAATTTGTTATTCTTTTACATAACCTCCTGGGTGGAAGTTTAGGGTTGGGCTTTGGGGCTTGCTCATCAAACAAAGTACTGAGACCAGTATTCCTGGTCTCTCGCTACTCCGGCTAAAATAGCAAGAGTCAAATCTTGGTTTTAAATAAGCATGGTTTATTTCAATTTAGACCCTACTTGTTGGGGTTTTGGGGTTTTGGGGTTTTGGGGTTTTGGGGTTTTGGGGTTTTGGGG